GCAAGCAGCAGGACCACTGGGTTGCAATCTGGACCCTTCAAGGTCATGACGCTGCAGGTGTCCACAGGAGGTACCCAGGGTAGAAATGGGAACGTGAGGACTGGCCAAAGGTCCTGGATTTGACAAGGACACACATGGAAAACATGATCATCAGAAACTTAGAAGAGCTATCAGAGATGGTGGCACAGAACTGAGGGCAGAACTGTCATTAGCAGGCAAAGTTGCTGGAAGGCAGACCTCATCTCCATGTACAGGGAGCACGGTCCACAGATCTCGTGGAGTTCCCAGGGAAGTACAAGATTCCCCCAGCCCCTGTTGAATAAAGAGAGTGAAACTAGACTCTTTCCAAGATTTTTCCAGCCTTGATGTTCCTTGATTCTGAGACTCAGTGAAATTAGGTTATGGTGAATCATATTGACATCTTTAAACTGAATTTATCTGTAATGTTTTGATCATTCTTTATCTTCTCCACCTACTTCCAAAAGTGGTTGGAGATGACTGTATCTCTTCCAGTGAAGCTAATACTGTCAGCCAGATCATGTCAGCAAAAGCTATACAGTATTTTAGCACAAATGCTTTACCATTTAGAGTGAATTCAAGGAACGATCTACAGCCTTCCTGGCTGTTAGGGTTTATGACTAAAATCCTACCCTATCCCCACCTCTTCTTTCTGGAATCACTGAATCTCAGGACTGGAAAGGGCATGCACAGCTCTGTAGGCCCACCCCACCATCAGATTTTTCAGCCCCAACCCCCAACCCATCCTGGGCATCCCCTAGCAAGTGTTCATTCACCTACTGCTTCCACACTTCTAGTGACGGGGAGCTCACCCCCTTCAAAGCAGCCTGTGCCATCCATGGAAGGTGTATTAGTTCCCTTTGTCTGCCATAACAAATTACCACAGAACAGTGGCTTTGAAAAACAGAAACTTGTCCTCTCACAGTTCTGGAGGCAAGAAGTCCAGAATCAAGTCAGGGTTGTGTTCCCTCTGAAGGCTCTAGGGGAGAACCCTTCCCTGCCTCTTCCAACGTCTAATGGTTCCGGGCATTCCTTGGCTTGTGATGGCATAATTTCAGTATCTACCTTCATCTTCACATGGCCTTCTCTTCTCTCCAAGTCTCTCCTCTGTGTGTCCCTTATAAGGACACTTGTCATTGAATTTAGGTTCCATCTGGATAATCCAGGATGATCTTATCTCAAGATCCTTAATTATTTCTGCAAAGACCCTTTTTCCAAACAAGGTCACATTCAATTTCCAGGGATTAGGATGTGTTCATGTCTTTTAGTGCCATCATTCAACCCACTACAGATGGGTTGATTCTCTAGAAAGTTCTTCATTAGCTAAAATCTGCCTCAGTTCACCTGCGCCTGTGAACCCTCTTTCTACTCCTTGAAGGCCTAAGCACAAGTTACTCTGTTTCCCCCTGACATTCTTCAGAGATTTGCAGCCAATCACCAGATCCCCAGACTTGGCCACGTTTTATGACTGGTGGAGACTGTCACACTGGTTTGGTGGCCCATTGGCAGCATGGCAAAGAGGAGAACATGCTCAGTCCCTGTCAGAGGCAGAGTCTTGGGCATCCATCCAGGCCAGACACTCACGGCCATGGGTGACCCAGCAGGTCACTTCACCTGGCCAAGCCTCCACTTCTTCCTCTGTTAGATGACATGGCCACTGTGGGATTGTCACATGCAAAGAAACCTGCAAAAAGCAGGCTTTCAACAGTTTCTTTCCCTCACTCAGTATCTGGTCCACATTTTAAAAAGAATTTTTAAAAAAGAATAAATCAGCCCGCACGATAACACATTTAGAGAAAAGGGTGAAAAACCTGCAAAAAGCAGGCTTTCAACAGTTTCTTTCCCTCACTCAGTATCTGGTCCACATTTTTAAAAGAATTTTTAAAAAAGAATAAATCAGCCCACATGATAACACATTTAGAGAAAAGGGTGAAGGATGCAGAGGAAAACAACTATGGTTATATAAAAGAATATCAATTACAAAATGGCTTTGAAATTACTTTCGTACAGGATATTTCTGTTTACAAAGTGCTTTCCCATCTGTCCTCTCACTTCATCTGGACAGAAACCCTGTGAGATAGGTTTTATTATTATTCCCATTTCACAGACAATGAAACTGAGGTCCCAAGAGGTGAAGTGACTTGCCCAAAGTCACACAGCCAGTGGACACCAGAACAGATTCCAGATCCTATGGCCTTGTGTCCAACCCTGCTCCTACCACATGGCAGAGTGCTGCCAAACTAATTCAAACTTCCACATGTCGGTCCTCAGTGTGATGCACATGGTTCATGCAGCTGTCAGATGTCCCAAGCTGCAGGACTGAGGCCAGAGGAAAGAGGGGCCTTTGTAAGAAGGCCTCAGGGAGGGGCTGCACCAACACAAAGCCCAGACACCAGTCGGCCATCCTGGCTCTTCCTCCTTTCCACCAACACCACCGTTCTGCCCTGTGCCCACCTGCACTCCCCCGCAGCCTGCCCTCTCACTAAACCACACAGCAAGGCTAAAATCTCAACTTTGGCCTCTACCCTGTCCGTTTCTGTTGGGAGATGTAAAAGTTAGGAGTACAGTTGCAAGTGAGAGAAAACCCAAAATAGTAATGGTTTGATAAACAGGCCACCTCCTTCTCCAGTAAACCTAGTTCAGAGGTAAACAGTCTAGGTCTTGAGGGGAGGGGAAGGGCCTGGGATCTTGGCTCCTGGCATCTGGTGGGCACTACATGGTCATCACACAGCTTCCACATCATGGTCTAAGATGGCTGCTGAAGCTCTACCCATCACACGGCACCCCAGCTGTCAGGAAGGAGGAAAAGCAATACCTCTTCCCCTTAAAGACACTTCCCAGACCTTGTAGACACCACTTCCACTTATGCAGCATTGTCCAGAACCTAGCCATAGGCCACACTTAGCTTCCAGGGCAGCTGGGAAATGTAGTCTCTATTCTGGGTGGCTGTGTGCATTGGGGGATAATAGAAGTCCCAGACACAAGGGATCTGCCTGGTTTAATATGAAAAAAAAAAAAAGCCTGGACTGAACTTCTAGAGACACAGTCCACTTTTGCTGTGTGGTCTTGGGCAGGCCTTTTTCTCCTCCCTGGGCCTCAGTGTTCTCTAGACAGTAAGGGGAGGAGGCTGAGATCATATCTGAAGTTCCTTGCCACCATGGCCTCCGGTGGGTCAGTGCATGAACCTGCTGTGGAGGTGAAGGAGAACCAGACAGCTCTCACACCCCCAGTCTGCATTTCCTCAGTGGGACTCAACTCAGGGCCACAGATATAAATGTGACAGATGGTGACATCCAGAAAACCTAGCTGATGGCAAAGCCCCCCACCTCCTGGGGAACCCTCCATTTGGCAGCTTCTCAGAGCAGCGAGCATGGGCTGCCCCTTGGTAACAACCGTCTCCCCTTTCTGTTCACCGTTTCAGTTGTTCGGTTGTTTCTTAGCTTGGGAGACCCGCAACGTCAGCATCCCTGCACTCAACGACAGCAAGTACATCGGGATGAGCGTCTACAACGTGGGCATCATGTGTATCATTGGGGCCGCCGTCTCCTTCCTCACCCGGGACCAGCCCAACGTGCAGTTCTGCATCGTGGCCCTGGTCATCATCTTCTGCAGCACCATCACCCTCTGCCTGGTGTTTGTGCCGAAGGTACAGGGGTGGCCCCCACCACCCGGCCTCTGGCCTCTGACTCCACCCCAAAGGGATTGCTGGTTTCTTTCTAAAAGATTTATGCATTTTTTTTTGACAATGAAGACAAGTCACATTATAGAAAGTTTAGAAAATGCAGAGAAGTAAAAGCCAGATTTTTCAGTATCTCACATAGTCCTACCACCCCAAAATAATTACTGGTAATGTTTCGTTTGGGTTTTTTTTTTTTTTTTAAAGATGACCGGTAAGGGGATCTTAACCCTTGACTTGGTGTTGTCAGCACCACGCCCAGCCAGTGAGCGAACCGGCCATCCCTATATGGGATCCGAACCCGGGGCCTTGGTGTTATCAGCACCACACTCTCCCGAGTGAGCCACAGGCCGGCCCCCTCGTTTGGGTTTTTTTAACTGCTAATGTTTTGCTGTGTTTCCTTCCAGCCTTCCTTTTTTATGATGGCTAGGAGGTGATGCTTTTGAGATATGATCATAACTATAGCACACATATTATTTTGTAATTTGCCTTTTTTTGTCGTTTGTATTTTCCCACATTCGTGACTGTCATTGAATGGAAGTTCAGTAATTTACATGTCCGCTTGATCCCTATGGCTGAGCGTTAGTTGTTTCCAAATTTTTTTATGTTACAAATGAACATTTTTTCTGCACACATAACACGTTTTCCTTGTTTCCAATTATTCCCTTTAGATAGAGTCATAGAAGTAGTATTACTGGGTCGAAGGGAATAACCTTTTTTTTGTTTTTGTTTTCTTGTTTTTTTGTTTAAAAGATGACCGGTAAGGGTATCTTAACCCTTGAATTGGTGTTGTCGGCACCACGCTCAGCCAGTGAGCGAACCGGCCATCCCTATATGGGATCCGAACCCGGGGCCTTGGTGTTATCAGCACCACACTCTCCCGAGTGAGCCACGGGCCGGCCAGGAATAAGCATTTTTAATAGCCACTTACATTTTCCATTTATCTGAAGGACTGACCTTCAGGACCACCTTGAAGATAATTTGTTCCAAACATCATCCTACCCAGCAGTGGGTGGGTGAACCAGAGGCCTTGACCTCTCAGGACCCCCCTAGTCTGTGTAGAGAGAAGCCTGACTTCAGGAGGTCTCAAGAGTGAAGGAAGGAGCAGGAAACAGCTGAGAAGGAATTATTGACCCAAGTGGGGACTGTCTGCCTTGGAGAAGGGGGAGAGGAGAGATCACTTGGGGTTGA